CACAAGGTGACGCAGTACAAGAAGGGGAAGGACTCCCTGTACGCCCAGGGTAAGGACGGGGGCGCCCCGGGGCTCTGCGGGGTCTGGGTGGTCACGCCTCGCTCAGGGCGATGGCTGAGGGCTGCGCGCCTGGCCGCGGAGAAGGCGGGATTGTTTCTGATGGGCTGTAGCTGCGGGCTGAGCTCTGCTCGGGTTTGGTAAGAGTGCCGGTTGTGCTTGTAGTATGCCTAACACGAGACATTTCCTCTTGTAGGAAAAAGACGCTACGATAGGAAGCAGAGCGGCTATGGGGGCCAGACAAAGCCCATCTTCCGTAAGAAGGTGAGTGCTGCTCCTGGGAGAAGGACCTGAAACTTTCTTGGCAATCCACGTGCCAAGTTGAAGAGGGACAGTTTAGCCTTCTGCAGCTATGGGCTGGTCCTGTGCTCAGGACAGTGTTCTGGCAGCTCTGTGCTGGTAGTGCTGTCTGGGGGTGTGAGTTCCCCACCCACATCTGCTCATCTTCCCCACTGCTCCTGTTTTGTGTAGGTGCTCCTGTTTTTTTGAGTGACATGTAGCGTGTGTTTTGCAGAGCAGGTTCTTCAGGGAGCCTTGGTACTGTAGAGGAGTGGGGTCTTACTGGAAGTGATGCCTTTGACAAAAGGAATGTTTTCCTTAGTGCTTGCCAAAGATGAAGAGTATGTTGAAGGGAACAGAAGCCTACTGCTTCTCTTTCTGATGCTTTTGAAGTGTCAGTAGTTTATCAGTGAAACTTGCTGTGTTTCTGAGGCCCTGCGTACCGAGGCTGCCTTCACTGACAAGGGTATGAAAGAAGCAAAGCCTGTGCAGCTCACGGGTGTACAGCAGAGCGTGACATAATTTTTTTGCAGTCCACTTCAGGAAATCCATATTGCTGAGCCAGAACATGAGCTACTGTGTTAGGCCTTTCCTGAGAGCCCCAAAGCAGCAGTGGAAAAGCAGCAGCACATTCTATTACAGATGAGTTGCAGAAACCTGCTGTTGTCCTTCCTCTTCAGTGTGGGTACCTGGGTCTGTAGTCTTGCAGCATGTTTTCCCTCTGTATGTCTGTGTATCTTCTGCCAGAGACTTGGGGGAGGAGGGCAGATCTGTGCTATTTACAGAAGGGAGGCAAAACCTAATGGGCTGATTTGTTAGTTTTTGTGTGGATTGCTTAGTTAGGCTTCTAGAGCTGCTTGGCTCGTTGCTGGAAGGCCTTGGTGTTCTGCTGGAGGTGTCCAGGAAGTCTTCCAGCAAGAAGAAAAAAAAAAAAAGAGTGTAGTTTTTCAGGCTGAGTCTCTGCAGGAAGCGAGGGCGCCCTGTAGCAGACTGCTCCTGTGTGCTGCACAGAGCACAGCTGCAGGGGTCTCACCACACAGCACTCCACCTGCACACCACCATCCCATTTCTGCCTTCCCGGTCAGCGTTAGCGTGTGAGATTGGATGAGGTTCGTAACTGGTGGTTACAGCTCTGTCCAGCTGCTAGAGTAGCCTTGCAGGCTTTGGATTCTTCCCTCTGTAGTCTTTGGGGTTTCACCTAACCTCTCAGTAGCTGTGTTGAGCGTGTTGTGTCCCTGCTGCTCCCGGGGAGTTTGTCCCTGGTGCGGTTTCCAGGCGTGGGTTCTGCCCAGCTTCCTGCTGGCCTGGGCACTGCCACTGCTCAGGCACTGCTCAGCCTCACTGCTCAGCCTGTCCCACGCTGCACAAGTGCCTGCTCCTCTCTGCAGGGCACCAGCCCTGCCCCACCGAACGCCAGTGTCCTTGCTGGGAAGGTGCAGATCCAGAGTACTCCCGTACTGGTCCCTAAGGTGCCTTCTTGTTTTCCATGGAGGGAGCCCGTGCCCCACCGAACGCCAGTGTCCTTGCTGGGAAGGTGCAGATCCAGAGTACTCCCGTACTGGTCCCTTCTTGTTTTCCATGGAAGGAGCCCGTGTTCGTAATCTGTTTCTTTGCACTTTGAAAACAAGCTGCTGAATCTTGAGGAGAGCAGATAACAAGCTTTTTCTGAGAGTGGCTACTTCTCTGCTTGTAGACAGTTTGTTCATTGACACGCTGTGCTCCACTCCTCCCAGGCCAAGACCACAAAGAAGATTGTGCTGAGGCTGGAGTGTGTGGAGCCCAACTGCAGGTCCAAGAGGATGCTGGCAATTAAGAGGTGCAAGCACTTTGAACTGGGAGGAGACAAGAAGAGAAAGGTAGGTTTGTGTGCTGCAAGTGGCTGAGAAAAGGTGGCAACATTCAGTACTGAGTAAACTGGCTCTGTATCTTCTTTCTTACAGGGCCAGGTGATCCAGTTCTAAGGTCCATTCTACCCATTGTCGTGGACAACATTAAAGTATTTGGAAGTGATCCGTTGCTTGAGTTTGTGTCTTGTCTTGGTGGTGGGGTGGGACTTGCAAGTCCATCACTGGGAAGATTGTTCCTTCTAACAGGAAGGTTTTGTTTGCAAAGCTGCTTAGTAAGTGAAGAGTTTGTAATATAAAGGCTTTTGAAAAAAAATTGCTGATGGCTGGGATCTCTTACTAAAAGGTGTTTTAGATTATATGTAGAGCCTGAGCTTCTGATGGGTTTCACACTGGTGACTTCTGTGTGAGAGTCTTATGCTGCTGCTTTTCTCCAGGCTTGTTCATGAGCTTCCTTGGTTGAAGGCTGTCTTCAAAAGGGCCTTCTCTGAACTTCTGTGGCTTGTTTTATGTAAAACAATTGCTGTTTATTATTGAGGTTCCATTTCAGGAATGCTGTGGAAAATCTGAATTGTTGGTAGATGAAGTAGTGATTGAAAAAAAGAAACTGAATGAGCTGCCAGAGCAGGCCTGTTTCCTACCCAAGTCCTTGCCCAAGAGGGAGGGCAAGTGAGATTCTTTGCACTCAGCAGTGGTTTCAATGTAGCAGGTACCAGAGCAACCCATACTGCCCCAAACAGCCCCTGCACTTGGCTGTAGGTGCTCCTTACAAACGAACTGTTGCCCTGCTCTAGGGGGCAACACATGAGCAGAGGCCCCGGAGCAGTGAGTGGGTTTGGTACCAGGGGCTTCATTAGTTGCTAGGCAGTGGTTACATGCTGCAGCTCAGCCGTGACACGTGTGCAGTGCCCGTGTTACAGGAGCTCAGAGGAGAGGGACAGCTCTGTGCTGTCACAGAGCGAAGGTGGGACAGGCCTCAGTGCCTGCCTCATGCCCGACTGCTGTTGGCACCCCTTAGAATTTTCCCTTAAAGAAAAAGCACAAGCACAGCACTGAAGTTTGAAATGAGCAGTGAGCACCTACAAAAGCATGGTGCACTATAGGACAGCCTACCCCAGGCTTTGATGGGATCCACTGGAGGCAGCACTATGCTGCCTGTCATTAGGAAGTCCACCGTCAGCAGGTGCTAGGATTGCAACACGGAGTTCTCTTAAGAGTAACTTACTTGTAGTGGAAATAAAGCTGGAGGATGGGGAAAGGCCTCTTCACATCTTCAGAGGGACTGAGAGTGCTCAGTTACTGCACAGTAACAGAATATGTATTCTTGTTTACTTGGTACTGGCTGATGTGATTGGCGTTTTCAAACTCCTGCTGCTCAAGCTGTTAGCAGCAGTGGCCTTGGCCTCTGCCTGTGAGAGACTGTATAGCTGCATTGTGTCAGCTGTACTGAATGCTGTTTGTAGTAAGCATGGCAAATTTCACAAGAACTTAGTGACTGGAACCAACTGCCTTGTTTTCTAAAACCTGATTTAATTTCAGCTATCATGCTGTACTCCTGGACAATGGAACTAAGAAAAAGCCTTTTGAAGGGACATTTTAATCAAAGTGCTTAATCACAGAAATAAGTCAAGATACTCCTGATTGTGCAGTAGTCAGAAGAGAACATACTTGTACATGATGGCTGCAAAAATGACTGAATATTCATCTCCTGACTCACAGGGACCTGTTTTACTCAACTTAAAGGCTGGTGCCAGCAGTGGAAAGCGAACACGGAGGTATTTCTGGAAGGGAGCTCAGTAAGGAAGGGGACCCCAGCAGCCCTATGAAGGGTAGAGTGAATGATGTGAATTGTCTTCTAAAGGAAAGTGACAGACACTGGTGAGAGGAAGACTCCCAGGGTAAGAAGACCTCAAACCCTGAGACCTAAGGCATGATACTTAATCCCATTTATGCTAAGCAGGCAGCTGTTGAGAAAGCAGTTGCAAGGAAGACCTCAAACCCTGAGACCTAAGGCATGATACTTAATCCCATTTATGCTAAGCAGGCAGCTGTCGAGAAAGTTGCAAGGGAGTGCAGTGATTTAGGGCTGTCAGAAGGTGGAAGTAGGTGTCAATGCTCTGAGGAGAGTGGTTTCTTCAACAGCTGTATGACCAGCTTTTCTTGTGGCTGGACTGTGTGCCCCAGCCTGGCAAAGCCAACAGCAAGGCAGTTGGAGTGTTTCCCTATTTTACCTGAAATGCTCTGGGAGATGTGCAAGATGCTGCAGGTATCCTTTGCATTTCTTCTGTTGGTAGTGGGTGTTAACAGGAGTTGCTGCCCTGCTGGGGCCCTTGGAGCCCCTTAATGAATGAGTTAGCTGAGATGCCAGAGAAAAGGTAAACAGAAGAGAAGCAGCACCCCTCTTACACACCAGGCTTGAGATTCAAAGTGCACGTAGAAGCACTTGAGTAGTGAATGTCTAAGGACATAACAAAGGCACCCAGCTTGGAGGAAAGAAGCAGACTTCTTGTGGCAAGAAGTTTAGACAGAGCCTGAAGCTCACAAAAAAGTCTGTGCCTCCTATGGTGCCACTACTTTCAGCAGCACAGTGCCTGTTGGGTTCACCTCCACACTCAGGGAGGAGACCCAGCTGTAAAATCCCCAGTCCCTGCTGGCTGGCAGGACCTGCCGGACTGAGCATGCCGGATTGCAGGCTAGCCCATTGCCAAGGAGGGTGAGAGAGAAGGTGAAGTTACGGGGTCCTCCTATCTCCTGCTGGTTCAGCACTGCCACAGCATAGGCCTGGCCAGACAGGGGTCGCTCCCACAGCTCAAAGTTCATGTCCTGCCAAGGAGAAAATAAACGGGGGTCTTATGTTAGGGGAGGCAGAACTGATGGTCTTCATGCCTGTCTGTTTAAGCAAGCTTCAGGAACACGTGCACTCACTGGGCTGTTCCCAAACCCTGGGCACTCTATACTCCATGTGTCTTCAGTCTCCCCTTTCTGAGGAGGGTGGTTGCCTGTGCCCCACACCACACCCCCAGCCCACTCCTGCTGTACCTTGGTGATCTGGTATCCCTGCTTGCCCAGTGGATCTTGGTTGATGGCGATCACCTCTTTGTTCTGGAGCAGCCACTTGGCATCGGGACTAATGTGCCGCAGGTCGTTGGACATGAAGAGGGGAGCTGCCATAACAGCCCACATTGCCATCTGAGTCACCGCCTGGTCCCAGCTCAGCCCAAAGTTTCCAATCACCAGCTGTGACAAGAAAACAAAAATACCTGGTAACACTGCCTGCCAAGGAGAAACTGGGCCAGCAACCTGCACACTGGTAAATGACAGGATGCTGAGGGCGGGACCCCTATCTGGGGACTGGTTAGATAGGCTGAGCACTCAGAGCAGAACCTGCTGGTTTGGAAAGGCAAGGCAAGGCATGGCTAATGTGGCAATTTAGGATGAACCACCAGTGGAGGACCCTTAACTGGCTAGGCAGCGTTTATGAATCTGCTTTTGGACGCAGCTATTCCTTCTTTGCAACGCTGGCATGCAGCCTGGCACCTACAGGTTTTCCTTCTCAGTCTTTTTCAGCACTTTGGAGACTGTCTCCCACTGCCACACCTGTGTTTGGAACTGGCACTGCTGGCAGAAGCTACGTTATGTAGAGACAGTGCTTCCTTGGTGCTGTCTGTAGCTGTAGTACCCTTTCCAGCCAGGGACCCATCAAGTTCCTGATCCTAGGGCCCCATTAGAGCCCTTCCCCTCAGTGTTTCCCTGTCAGTTCTCTCCCTTCTCATTCTTCTCAGCCTACAGCTGAAGAAAGGAGTTTTCACTGGTGCCGCAAGGGAGGTCAGTGTTGCTCTACTTGCCATGTCAGGATCATTCCAGCCCCCTGGCCCAGCTATCTTCACAATGGTGTCCTGGTGAAGTGCTGTCCAGCCCAAGATAGTCTTGATGCTGCTCCAGGAATCATAGACATCATGAAAGTTCCTCCAGTGATTGCAGTACTGTTTGATCTCTGTATAATTTGGCTGCCAAAACAATAAGCGTGATTAGCTAAGGAACCTGGCTGTACAAGAACAAGGCCATACACAAGGTGAGACTGGATCAGGAATATTTCTGGGGAGAACTGTCAACACCTTCCATCACCAGCTACTTGGATTGATCTAGTGCATGTTGGTTCCCTAGGATGCCTTGTGCCCAGTAACTCCAGTCTGCCATGTTCCAGACAACACCTAGCTCTGTTAGAAAATTCTTTTGAGCACTATTTTACTGAAGGTGTGATGGGGCCAGTGGGATTAAACTGTAATGTCCCAGTAATTACTACTGTTTGTTGGGTTTACACTCTTCAGTGACTAATGCATTTAACTCCCAATGGGAGGGAATGGCACCATCCTGTCATGATGGCACAGAGGAAAGAGGAAGCCAGCTGTGGGTGGAGAGCCACATGTCAGTCACGGACCCTGGATGGCAGAAATCTGTTGGTAAACAATGTGGAGAATTCCTATTAAATAGGCTGTCCTAAAGTCTCCTGGTTCCTAGAGGTGAGTAGAAGTCTGAGTCTGCAGCACTCTGCGTCCAGGAGGAATAACACCCAACTATCCACTAGCTGTGTGTCTGTGCTGCCAATGTGTTGTTGCTTGGTTCCTTGGAGACAGAAAGTAGATGGATGCTGCTGTGTTCTTTGGCACGCTCCAGCTGGGCTCTGCTTTCATACTGCAGGATACTATGCAGTTCTCTTCAGCAGAGTAATAACGTGCCTCAGGTATAGTTCAGGGCTCTAGAGGAAAAAGTGTTTTTCCTCTATCTTACAGTGTTGTTCTCTGTCAGACCAGAAAGTCACAAGTTTCTCAGGAGGCAGTTCTGCAGTCTTAATGGTTTTCTGTTCTTCCCACTTTCAGCCCCAGGATAAGCCTTGAGAAGCATTCCCTACCTGTTGCATGGGCCTCAAGTATAAAGGCCACTCACAGGAGTACACAATGCTCCTTCCAGTCTTGTTCAGGGCCAGAGACATGTGTCTATAACCTAAAGAAAGAGGACAGACAGAGGTTACCCAATCTCCCTGGTCAAACAGGAACTAATCCAATGTCACAGGTTTCAGTTCCAACTCTTGCAAAATCAAGGCTGAAGACATTACAGCT